CGGAAGCTCATCATTGCCCAGTTTCTTTCTTTTCCTCCCTCCTCTGTTATGGACGGCGGAAGCTCATCGCCGTTCATGTTTCTTTCTTTTCCTTCCCCCTTTGTCATGGATAGCAGAACCTCATCGCCGTTCATGTTTCTTTCCCTTCTCTCTCCTCTGTCATGAACGGCAAAACCTCATCGTCGTCCATGCTTCTTTCTGTTTGTCTCTTCTCAGCCATAGACGGCGAAAGTCCATCGTTGTCCATGCTTCTTTCTCTTTCTCTCTCCTCAGTCACAGACGATGGAGCCCTATCGCCGTCTATGCTTCTTCCCTTCTCTTTCTTCTTTCTCTCTCTTCCTTCAACTCTCTTTTTCTCTTCTCTTTCTTCTTTCTTCTCTCTTCTCTTTCTTCTTTGTCTCTTTTTTTTATCTCTCTCTTTCCCTCTCCTTTTCTCTTTCATCCTTTCTTCCTATTCGCTCTTCTCCATTTCTTCTCTTCTCTTCCTTTCTTTTTCTTTTCTCTTCTCCTCTATTCCCTTCTTCTCTTCTTCTTCTCTCTCTTCTCGTCTTCTCTCTTAATCTCTCATCTTTTACTCTCTCTTCTATTTTCTTCTTATTTTTTCTCTTCTTTCTCTTTCTTTCTTCTATCTTATCTGTCCTTTCTTTCTCTTCTCTTTTCTTCTCTCTTTTTCTCTTGTTTGACTAAGAGAGGCTAAGTCAAGCACTACCATGATAGTCTTGTTATCAAGCAGTATTGCCACGGTCTGAGTTATCGTGCCCATCTTGCTGCCACGATGACCTAACCATCGTGCCAAATCGGTTAGTGTTCGTTCTATTGTCGAGTAGTATTACCGTCGTACCAGTCTGAGTTACCGTGTCCGTCTTGTTACCACATCTGATTAATCACTTACTGGTCTAGCCATTATGTCAGTCTGACCACTTGGTCAAATTCTTCTCTTCCCTTCTCTCTATTCTATCTTATTCTTCTCCTTTCATCATCCCAATCTCTATCCTCTTACTCTTTCCTTCTTCCTATGAATGCGCATGCCTATGTGCATTCCCCCAAAGATAAGGTGTGGTCCCTTGGCCCACTTGTCTTGTAAATTAACCATGTGTGTGTGATTGCAGAAACATGAGAGTACAGGTCAAGGGAGACGATTTCGAACCAGTTGTAGGACTAGGGTGCTTTTTATCATAATCTAAGAGGGCGCCCTCCCGAGTCAGCCTGAGTGAGTCACGGACCCAAGTGAGGTGTGTCCCATCTCACATTAAATTCCTCTCTCATCGGTTGGTATACCTGCCCTTATTCCCTAACAAGGTTCTCAAGAGAGCGGGCTTAAGTCTCGGGTTCCCCTGAAACCTGAGACACGTGCCATCAGGTCATCCTGACCCGGAGGGCCAGATTGTGGCACCTAACTAGTGATCTAAGAGGGCATCACTGCACGCCCGAGCATGTCATGACCCACCGTGAGGTAGGTCCCACCTCACACCCTATAATTCTCTCTCACTAGTTGGTACCTGCCCACACATGCACCCACACGCACTGCGGTTTTCGAGAGAGCGATCTTGGGCCAGGCCCCACATCTGGGTCCCCGCAGCGGTCCACAGACCCGACAAAATCGAGGCCCAACCAAACATCACCCGACTATTTGGTCTGGGTTTTTAGTTTATCGAATACAGATTGTGTAAAATATAATCCAAATGAAGAAAGCTTCACCAATATTTTGACTGAGGAATTAAAATTGCTCGAGGCCAAAAAGGTGTCCTCTCAGTATCAAATAGAGGCAGACAAATGCAATGCAGGGATAGAGACTTGCTAAGGAGCAACAAAGAAAGCTAAGATAGAGCAAACTACACGTCTAGGGTCTGAACCAATTAATTCAATCTCAATATAGTGAGAGAAAAGTTATAAATTCAATCTCATGGCCATGGATGAATGTGATGACCCTAATTTTTTTTTTGAAACTAAATAATAATAATAATAATAATAATAATAATAATAATAATAATAATAAAACAAAAATAGAACAAAAGATTTACATAAAAAAATATTAGAGTGATAGTCCATTGTGTCAAAATACACCATAAGGATTATCCTTTTTACTAACACAATTTGATACAAAAATACTAATAAATTAATAATAAAATTTAGCTTATGGTCATGTGTCATTCTTCTTAATGATGTGCCAATCATGAATCCATCACTTTGGTGATGTGTCATGAGATGGCGCATGCACTTAATAATATAATAAAATAAGTGACACAAGCAACATGCACCATATGAATAAAGGTTCTCTCTCTTTTTAAAACCATCATAGGTCCATCATACTCAATGATGGGGTCTTCTCTCTATCTTCACTTGTAAGTTTCTCTCTCTCTTTTCAACTAATTTCACTTTTTCTCTCTCAATGAGAAAAATGAAGTTAGTCCTTCTATTGCAGGACTTCTATTGTTGTGAATGCTTGTTTGATCATATCTGATACTTGCTTGTAGTAATATTTTAAACTATTAAATTTAGATCATAATTCATCCTGATATGAATCACGTGCATATAATTTATATATCATGCTTATTTTATTTATCCAATAAGGAATACATGATACGTATAAGATTAGAAGCGAATATGTCTAATAATAGGTATTAGATTGCAGGAAATCAATACGTCGAATTTCTGCTTATTATGCAGTATTTTAGAAAATATTTACATCCTAAAATTCTGATTTTCAAGGATAATGATAGTAACTTACTGAGCAGTCAAACTCATCAAGCTATTGTGAATTTTGTTTACAGTACTCACAACCGTATTGTTTGTATGTATAGCAAGAGTAGTTTGAGAGAAGTGTGTAGTCATGGATAAATTTGCCTTTAAAAATTTTGTATATATATATGGGAAAAGATCTTGTCGGCCCAATGGCGTACTGCTACAGTAAACGCCAATGGCTCAGATTGAATCTAGGCCGATCTGACGATCCTGGATGTCTGGTAGTGTTTGAATTTTAATATTCTTTTTTACAAATTGGAATGATATGAAATTTTGAGTGTGTGTACGTAAAAAATAGGTGAATCTTTGAAAAATATAAAAAAATATTTTACATGAAAAAAATTGATCAAAATACCCCTATAAAGTTTCGGGGGTATTTTGGTCAATTTAGTTTTACGGATTATTTTTTTTTATATTTTTATTAGGTGTGCCTTGATAAGAAGAACATACACCTTAAATTTCAAGTGATTCGAATTTATAGAAAAAATTAAAATTAAAATACGAAAAGAGGTCGTGACCGTCAGATAGGCCTAGATTCAATCTAGGCTATTGGCGTTTACTGTAGCGGTCATGTTATTATAAGCTGTGAAATAGACTTTGTATAAAAAGCTTTTGAATGAAAAATTTGTTTTGGAGTAATATATAGTAAAAATTTCGAAATTGTTTTGGTTCTTTAAAAATAGACTGTCATATCTCAAGAATTTTATTGTTATAGAACATGAGTTGTGACAATGCATATCATACACTCTTAGAGAAAGAGCGCACAAAAAAAGGTAAGAATAATTGAATAAAGCGAGCTGAATGGAGCCCAGTTCAAACTTTTGTTGCCCTCTTTGAGCTTCTCTTCTCAGCTTCCGTTTCTGCAATGCTCACATAAAACTCTCGACCAAGCATGTGTCTCACAATTGTCCAAGAGACACTAGCTACCACTGTGTCAAAGATCAATTCCATTGAGAAATTGAAGCCAAAAAGCGAGAGAATTTGGATCGCATTCGCGAGCTAACAAACATTCTCTCTGGTGTCCAATGGAACTGATGATGCCTCTTCTTTGTGGGAAGGTAAAGGGCTCACATCTACTTCCATTTTGTCCTCTGATAATGTACTGAGGTCTTCAAAATCCTCATTTTTCCACCATTAACAGAGTGAGCACCAACCCAAAAATAGGTATTGCAGCCAAGGGATGAGCTCGACTGGACGCCATATTGTTCAAGATAGTAGAAATGTTGCTTCAGCCTTTTCACCAAATTCGCAGAGACGGTGAGAAGCTGGCCCTTCTCAAGCTGTAACATGCAAAGTTTATAATTGTCCGTTTGACTTAAAATTTTATAGGAAGAGTATCTATAAAATTTTTAAATCAAAATGGATTTTTGAACCATCAATTTTCAAGATTTTCATGGATAGGCTCGATCTACACTACTATTGAAACTCTAAATTTTATAATTAAAGATGCAAATAAACTTTACGGCTATCACAAAGATTTTTAGTATAAAACCATATTTTTCGACTGTATTTGGAGGTGCGCTCTATATAAACTGCACCCTTAAAAAAATGTGTATATATTTTCGAGACGAAAATAGAATATAAGGATAGGGTTCCTGTATATAAACTGCACCCTTAAAAAAATATGTGTATATATTTTCGAGATGAAAATAGAATATAAGGATAGGGTTTCTGTAGTTCTTGTGTGTATGAGGGGCTCGTAAAACCATTATTCTTCTCATTATTCTTCATGTGTATAGGACCTCAACAGACTACCATTAAAGTTAGCGTGGAATCATTTCTCATATCATATTGGTATGCATGCAGGGAAAGAGAGATGAATGACGAAAGAAGATAGAGAAATTGCAGAAAAATAAATAGGACCGTGTTCCTCCTTTAAAATCCTGGGATAAGAGAAAGCATTATCATATAAAAGAGAGAGAAGGTGGAGGAAGTACGAAGAATCCTTGAGAGAGAGAGAAGGAAGGATTTGTTTAATGGGTTATGTGGGAAAGGGGATCGGAAAACTGCTGAGGTTCAGAGAGGGGTGGGGGTCAAAGAATTAAGCATGAGGAATAGAGAGTTTGCAGAAGAAGGGGGAAAAGGATAGATGTAGAGAGAGAAGGGAGGAAGTTAGGGTTTTTGCAGAGAGGAGGGAGATACTGTTACTGTATGTGAGAGAGAGAGAGAGAGAGAAAAGAGATTAAGAGAGAGAAAGGGAGAGGTGGTACTGTTACTGAATGAAAGAGAGAGAGAGAGAGAGAAGAGATTAAGAGAGAGAAAGGGAGAGTGATGCTGTTACTGAATGTAAGAGAGAGAGAGAGAGAGAAGAGATTAAGAGAGAGAAAGGGAGAGGTGAAAAAGCCAGAACACTCCAGTGGGATACAGGATCTGGAGAGAAGGTCAGAGAAAGCAAAAAGGAGTGAGAGAAAGTTGAAAAAGAGAATAGTGAGAGAGACTTTACATAAAAAAAGTAGGGAGTGAGAGCTAGAGAGAGAGAGAGAGAGAGAGAGAGAAACCCAAGCAATGGCAGTGAGCAACAACATAACGGCGGGCCTCAACTTTGTGGCCCTCCTGAGCTCCATAGCCATCATCGCTTCCGGAGTGTGGCTTGCATCACGGCAAGACAACGAGTGCATCCGCCTGGTCCGATGGCCGATAATCCTCATCGGACTCCTCATCTTTCTGGTGTCTCTTGCGGGCTTCGTTGGGGCGTTCTGGCGCGTCCAGTGCCTCCTCGCGGTCTACCTCGTCGCCATGATTATTCTCATCGTCCTTCTCCTCTCGTTTGTCGTCTTTGCGTTCGTCGTCACGGGGCCATCGGGAGCCTACCCGATTTCTGGCAGGGCATATGATGAGTACCGCCTGCAGGGCTACTCGGCATGGCTCCGCCATTATGTGGCCGACAACGGCAATTGGAACCGCGTCCGGGCCTGTTTGGGTGGCTCCACTGCGTGTTCGGGGCTCCCCCTGAAGTACCTTAGTTTTCAGGACTTCATTGCTGCGCATCTCACTCCTTTGCAGGTCGGTGAATTTCTTTTCCGCTCTCTGTCTCTCTCCTTTGTTGTCCCCTGTTTTCATTGTTCTAGTCTCTCCCAAACTTTTCTTTAAGTCCCCTGTGTTAATTTTCCTGATCTTCTTCCTCTTCGCCCCCCCCCCCCCCCCACCCCTCTCTCACTCTCTCAACAAATTTCGGATTTTTCGCCTTTGCTCTTTTTATCTCTCTGCATTTTTGGACTTCTATATTTTGGGCCTTTCCAGGTTTTTAGGGCTTCTTCTCTACCTCTAACCTCATTTGGGTTTCTTCTTCCTGTTTATCTTTCATTCCTTGTCCATTTCTATTGTTGGGATGATATTTTTTCCAGGTTTCTCCTCCCCTCTAGAGAGAGAGATTCAGTTGCAGGCTCCAGCGATGGCGAAATGGCCTCCTCTTGCTCTCTCTCTCTCTCAGCACCCAGTTAGCTTCACCTCGCAGCTTTATCCACAAAATGATTCTCATTGAATGAAACATTGTTCCTCTCTCTCAAGCCCACCACCATTGTTCCCAGTGCCTCAATAACAAATACACAATTTTTTGCGATTCGTAGTTTACCTGATTTTTTGCCTCCCACTTTTTGAAATGAATTCGTTTTATTACTGGTGTTTCAGTTTGCCGATATATTGTTTTTTGCCTACTTGTTGTAAACTTTGGGTTATACTCTCTAATTCAGGGTTAATCTGTTGGTTTTTTCTCTCTCTATTATCCCACCTCTCATTTGGGGACCTCTCTCTCTATATATCTCGACAATTTCAGAGTTTTATTTCAGAGGCCTTTACCATTTGAGCATTCAGCCTTTGCTCTCCATTTCTGGTTCTGTAAGTTGTTTTTTTTTTTTGGCAATAATAGTAGCAGTAATAATAATTATAACAACAACAACAAGGTTATTTGTCTAGAGAACAGAGTAATAAGGCCCAAAGTGTTTTTATTCTTGCAGAGAATAGAATAATAAGGCTGATTCCTTCCTGGAATCAGCCCCGCCCGAGCTATTTTTTAATTTTATATAAAGCTTTTTATTCTTGTATGAAAAGTTTATACAAGGTTACAACATGTAAAAAATCAGCATAAAAGGATATTCCAATCATCAGACATCAAGATGTGTGAATATACAGAAAAAGAAAATTTTAGACTATCTATTTTCAAGTGTTTATAGATCGCACGATCTACACTACCATTTTTGAAAATTCAAATTTCATAAATAGGATTGAACATAGATTTTGGAGCCATTGTAGGTTTTCCTATGCCAGAACTACTACATCTCTTGATAAATTTTAGAGGTGCCGCCTGATTTATAGGTAGGAACCTCATACAAACCTCACCCTAACTAAATTGGCCCTCTTTCTATTAAATAAATATTAAAAGAAAACTGAAAATTACAATATGGGCTTTGGATGTTTTTTTCCAGGTCTTTCCTGCGAGGGGCACTTCTTTCTCTCTCCTCCCCTCTGGAAAAAGAGAGATAGATTCAGTTGCAGGGTCCAGCGATGGCCTCCTCTTGTTCTCTCTCATCATCCCACCCAGTGAGCGTCAACTCGCAGCCCACTTGTTCTTAATCCACTAAATGATTCTCATTGATTGAGACATTGTCCCTCTCTCAAGGCTTTATCGGCCACAACCATTGCTCCCAATTTGTAATGCTAGCCAGTGCCTCAATAACTAACACACGACAAACACAATGCAGCTCTGATCAAGCCCTGGTCCAGGACCACACCACCAAGCTGCTAAAAAATTTAGATGGAGAAATAGACCCCTATGCCCTGACTCCTCGGAGTTGCCGAGGTTAGAGAAGCAGACAAAACAGTGGAACACTGCAACCCGAATCACTGGAACCCGATCATTCAACCCGAACCAATTCTTGAATGACAAAACATCGGGCTTTCTTTCCTCAGGTTCTCCTTTCTTTCTATATGGATGTGTGAGAGTTGAATCCAATTTATGGTCGATCCTCTCTCTGTCAAGGATATCCTCTTCGTAGGATTTGAAATGCACCTGTTGTTGCAACCCCAACCATGGGGCTGCTGTTGAACCCCACCTTACTCACTTCCCATTAGAGCAAAAGAAGGGGCTTTCTTTCTCTAGGATTTACTTGCCCTTGTCCTGTCTGTCATTTCAGCCAAGGTTGAAGGACAAAACCCCCTTAAGAAGCAAATGGCGTGTTTGATTTTTGGAAGCGGTGGCTTCTAGAGCCATCTCTCCTATACATTGTAGCACCTCCCTCTTATGTTAAAAATATCGTTGAAAGTGGATGCTATGAGCCCCATGAATGGATAATCAAAGAACCCACCGTATCCACTTCTTCGAAGACACGGTATCTAAAACCATGTCTTCAAAAATTGATAAACCAGAAGGCAATGTTTCTTTCTGTGTCTACTACCACAAGCACTCCTTTCTCAAGTATTTCCTCTCCCTAGACATTAGCAACCAGTCCTGATGTTCTCTTCGAATGAAACTAATCTCACCCACCACGTCTAAGACATAAAACAAAGTCCCTTCCTAGCCCTTTATCCAGAATTCCCCCATGTCTCTCGATCTAGGATACATAGGAATTTGATCTTGTAAGCCCACCGGCCTATTAAATTGTATAAGCCAAATGCCCCTGAAAGATCCATAAGTGAAAGGCTATCCTGGTGGTGAGAAATTTTTTTCAGAGAAGTGAGAATCCGAGAGACCTGAAATTCGCACAAATGTACATCTCCTTTAGGTGCTCCGTCAAAATGAAAAAATGCGTACACTAGGATAAATATGTCCACAGTTTTTTGTCATCCAGATCGCCTCCTCTCTTTCAATATTGACTGTTGGACTTACACTTAGATTAAGCTCTTTATCATGAGGATGTGTTTGGATAGAGAGAGGGTGTTTCCCCAGGGGCTTTCAGGTGTGTGTGGAGAGGATAACCTCTGGTGGTTTACTCAGGGAGTAAGTTAGGTTTTTGGTTTTTGTTTTAGATATAGACGTACAGGTTCTTGGGTCTGTACTCAGAGAAATTCTTGGATCTGTGAGTTTAGGGAGAGGGAACCTCAGTGATAAACAGATTTAAGAAAAAAAAAAAAGGGTTAAAGCAGTACTTTTAGAACTAATTTGTTTGAGTATTAATAAAGCGGCTTATTCATAGGAATGGAATCTTGTCTCAAAGAAAAAGAATTAAAGTAACAATTTTAAGTAAGCGAAGCATAGGTGGTGGATTTCTGAAATTAATGCCAACTTGGTTGGAAAAGGTGAGGTTTACCCCTTTTTCATTGCTGCCTTTCTTGTTGCTACTTTCTTAGTGGAAGAGAAACATAAATCTTTCTTTTCTTTTTTTACTTTTTGGTTGTTAATTGTTGCTTTCTTTATGGAGGAAACAAAACAGCTTGATCTATCAGTCATTATGCAGTAAATGTCTTTTTAGTTGAATAAAATAAAACCAGATCCTCATCCTAGCTGAGTAGAGAGAGAGTTGCACTAGGTAAAAACAGGGGGATGCTGAATAGAGAGGGAGAGGAAGGGAGAGAGGTAAAAACAGAGGACTAAGAGAGTGAGATTTATAGGTATATGCATGGGGAAACAGGTTACAGTGATAGGGTTGAGATAGAGATGGAAATTATCCAAGAGAAAAGACTAATTAACTTCTAAGATATATCATTTGAAGTGTCTTCACAGAGAGAGAGAGAGAGAGAGAGAGAGAGAGAGAGAGAGAGAGATAATAAAAGAAT